TCTGCAGGAATGGCTTCTTCCTGAGTGTCTTTAGCCCAATCCTTGCGAGGGCTGGACACTCGAACAGGAAGTGTTCGACTGCAGACTGCTGAAAATTTGTAGGCATCTTTTTGCTCATTCCTAAAAAAGCTTTGGTTTTAAGTGGGTCGTAGGACACCCAGAACTGCCGGGTAATCCTGCCAGATCTTGTGAAGTTCCACCGCTTCTTGGTCTTCGAGTGAAAAATTTCGGTAATTTTTGTCTTAATATCCCTGACCGAGGCGCCCATATCCACCGCGTGGGACAGATTAAGTGTGGAGCCGCTTCTTGCTAGTTCATCCGCTGCCTATGCCCACCCATATTAGGGTAAATATGTATTGATCAGAAAAATAGGCTAGCTCTCTCCCACTTAAATTCATCCACTAGTTGAAATCTAACACAAGTAGAAGAGAGTGGTTGAATGCCGTTTGGCTATCCGAGTGGATGTCTGGTGCAGCGCCCCGTAAGAGATATGGGTCGGACTATAGCTGTGTACATTCAGTGCAGAATTCTTGGTTTCAAACTCCATCTGTTGCCCAACATCACTCAAAGCGTCCAAAGTTTTCCATGTATATTATATGGGGAAAAAACAACTTTTCGTAGTAAACTCTGTTTAAATGCAGAAGATTCCCAGTAATAATACCCAGTTGTTTATTTAACCATTTTTTCATCGCAAATATAATTTATAGGTTTTCAAAAACCCACAGAAAGCCCGAAAAATGCAAAAGGGGGCTAATAAAAAACCCTTAGTATTAAGAAATGGTTAAATAAACAATTGGGTATTATTATTGAAAGTCTCCAGAAGATAATCAGAGTTTTCCGACGAAAAATATTGATTTTCAAGAATTCCATACCATTTATACGAAAAGTTGTTTTTTCCCCATATAAAAATACATGGAAAACTTTGAGCGTTTTCAGCGACCTCTAAATATTTTTTGATTTCAAAATAAAAAAAATAGGGGTATACTTTTTTCGATATAGAACAACCCTAGGGGGTGAGAGCAATACAGTTCCGCCTTAACTGTTTTTGGACTACCCTAATGTGCAGGCATCGGCAGATTACGAGCACACAGTGGGCTAGCTTTTCTCAATATTCATCGCAATCTGGATGTTAATAGCTTTGTTCCACACGCTTTTCGGGCTGCTCCGGTAATGAGAGCGTAAAAATAAGTTACTCTCTCACAAGTGTCAAAAATGTGTCAATACGTGCCGAAAGTGCCCAGAGCGTGAGGAACGCAAAAAAACCACATTTCATGCCCGGAGTCAACAAATCAGCTAATAAAATTATCAAATACCTACATTTCTGAAACTTAGTGCTATTTTCCATTTTTGTTTTTACAAAATTTGTTTTCGGATATAAGAAAAAAACAGCTGTTATTTAAAATTGACTTCTTGGACATTTCTGTCCGGAAAAAAGTCCGGGCTGTTTCGGGCGCGAAGAAGAAGACATTTACGATCCAAAAGTGGAAGGTATTCGCTCTCTATTACCCATTTTTCTAGTGTGAGGAACGCGTTCTGGGCTGTTTTGGGCACCTGCGGGATCCCGCGGTCTCGTGTGGAACAAACCTAATGTTGACTCAATATTAAAATAATTTTTATCTATACCTCGGTGAATTGCATGTGACTTTTCTTTGAGTCAATGATGTTCTTGGTTGTTACGAATGACTTTTCATTTAATTCATTTCTCAGCGAAAAATAGGGGGTCTATTATCTAAAACATGAAAAAACTTGAAAGAAGGAGGTTGAGAACGTTTATTTCCGTAAGTATCTCAAAGTCAGCCTGATTTTGAAACGAGTTATGTATATATCATAAAATATAACATACTAATCGGCTCATAAAAGTAGTTGTTTCTAATATATGTACTTTCCAAATGAAGTGCCTAAAACTATGCAACAATAAATTTCATGAAATTTTCCTCTCACTCAATAATGTGACTCGACTTTGAGATATATGTTAAGGCGCTTACGTTCGCTTATCCTACTACCGATGTGCCGTTAGCTAATACGAATGAAAGAAGAAACAAAAATAAATCGAAACCACATTCCCATCGACGCAATACATTAAAGAACTTTGCCTTGCTTTTATTTCTGCTTAGTCCGAAACTTTCATCTTTTGCGCCATTTCACATGCCTTCAGCAATTTTACCGCTAATTGAATACAACCTTGATCATTTGACCGTTTATGCTATTCAGAGTAAGGAAGGATATTCGCTTGCCGCTGAATATATACATATAATATATTATATTTGTTATTTCGGTCATTCATTCCGTTAACGCTTGCCATTTCTGGTGTGTTTATGTTGCACACCGTAAGTGAATTGGCAAAATCTTTGCTAAGTTGGTCACGTATTTAATGTCGGTTTCACACACTTCAACACGTGCGACTTTTATGCCTTTCATCTTGGCCGAAAATGACCAGCAGAGCATTCAGAATTTGAACGGTGTATGGGAGTGAGTCTGTAAGGTGGAATTGATTGGGGACGGCTGCTTGGAGTGCCTGCGGAATTGTGAAACGAAGGCGGTTGCTGTACGTTCTTTGGCCCACACGCCCTAGGCATAGGGCTTAGATGTATGTATACCTCCTTAGAGGACGGCCAGTAAGCAGTGTTGCCATAAGTCAAGATTTATCTTGAAAATGAAGATTTTTCGGGCAGTTTTTTATTAAATCTTCAAAAAAAGATTTTTTAAAAAGCAAAATTTTAAAATGAACATATCTTAAAAATTAAGATTTTTGTGTATGAAGTAAAATTTTTAAAGTTTAAGTTAAAATTGTTAAATTATTTATATTATCCTTGCTACATCATTGTAAGCAGAAAATTAAGGAAAAAGAAAAATAAAATATGAAATCCCCTACAATATTATCTGCCTTCTTCTCTCGCACAGTAAAACATATACTCTAGTGAAGACTTAGAGAGTGGAGGAAAAGAACAAACGGACTTTCGTATACCCTCTAGTTTAAATGACAACAATGAAAATTTTCAAGTAAACTGCCATTTAAGCTGATGAGTTTACGTGGATAAATGTATAACGAGAAAAAAAGGAGCGGTAAGCTTTATAAAATAATATCTATGTAAAAATATCAATAAAAAATCGAATTAAAAAACTCAAAATTGATATGGAACTTTGTCGAATTTTCTTAATTTTTGTACAAAGATTGAAGTCGGGACTTACATGGTGTTTGATAGATAACGAGCTATTTTTTCATAAAAAAGAACAAGTAACACCTTTCCGATAAAAAGGAATTATCGAAATCAGTTCAAGTAGTCCAAAGTTATGCGGTAACATATATACATAAAAAAAATATTCGCACGAATTGATAAACTCTTCCTTTTTTGAAGTCGGTCAAAACTTGTAAAATGTCGCGTCCCTATTTATATTTTCGCCAGTGCATATTTACGTATGTAAACTATGCTACAAATTTTGTGATGACACGAGGCAATATTCATTTTAAGTTTAAGTTGTTATAAAGAGGACTTTATAATTTGAAATTGGTATTTTTTTCAACCAACATAATAAGGGCTATTTACACCCGTAAAGCCAATATCGAATGTCTTTTAAGGTATTTTTAAATGAAGATTTTTTGGGATCGAAAAGATTAATTTAAGCTTTAAAATCTTATTTTGAAGATTTTTTTTAGAAAAAATGAAGATTTTTAGGGGACTTTCTCTGGCAACACTGGCAGTAAGTAGCAATGAGTGAGCGAAGGTTGCAAAAGTCTAATTAAGGGTCAAATAAAAGCTGCCACAGATGTTGCAAATTGTTCTGCTAAATATGCGTTGGACATTAAAAGACATTTGTGACCAGTGCGCGCAATCGCACCTACACTAGATTTACATACACTTTGTGATTTTGCACAAAAAAAAAATCGGATTTTAGCTGTTTTACATTTGTCTAGTTCGTTTTAAATTCTCCTCATGCAAATTAATTCAGCAGCTACTTTTGCTAATGCGATTTATTCCGACGTTTTGTCATAGGTGCGCTTTTGTTGTTGTTGTTACAGCGCCTTAAAGAACTGCTAGTAAGTATGGACGTCAGTAAAGCTGTAGTAAAAGTAAATCGAGCAAATGGCGGTCGCCACAATTTTCTTCATTCACATGCAAATTTTCCTTGCAGTACTCTGGGATGTTTTTATGCATAAAGGTTTTAAAAACGCATTAGTTCAACACACTGCCGCACAGATTGTTGTTTGAAGCATACGAACATAGATTTCTTCGACGTAATCTAGCGTTTTTCGCTACAACAAAAGGCGGAGCGGACTTTACTAGCATTCGCAGTACTTCCGTTATTTTTCCAATAAAATGTTATTGTAATGTTCTTGTGGCCAAGGAATGCTCGCTAGTCTATATGCAAGCTTAGGCTTCATGCCTTTTGCGAGTCATTCATAACCATTAGACATTATTGCCCTCTTATGCAAAGGAGGTAAGCACATTTTAGTAAGCAATGACTAAAATTGAGGAAAGAATATACCACAAGGCTACCTCTGGTGGCCGGAAAATAAGTAAAAATATGTATTTATCACCACAATACTTCGGGACTCAGGGCCAAATCTGAATCTGTCTGCATTACGAGTTCGCAATTGGATTATGGCTGCTTCGTTCTGACAGAAAACAGGCTGAATATTAACTTTTTTGTTGCGGAGTTCTTTAATGCAGTACTCTTTGGGGTTTTCGCAAAGATACGCGATTTTGCTAAAACTGGTGTTTGTAGGGGTAGTGTAAGGGTACTGATTAGCTGCATACAGATATCTTCGAGCTTAGATGCTAAGCGTCTTAAATTGCATACTCTTAGGCAGATCAATAGCCAACTCTGCAAATGCAAAGAAAACAAAAGATTTCATTTTAAAAATTATTGAAATTTATTTTCTAAAAAAAATATTGTCTACCAAAATTTAAACAAAATTTAACTAACATTGCAACCGAATTCCCATTTATCCAAAGGCGTGCACACTTACATATGTTTGTAATATAACCACATTACACAATTTACCAGCCGGTGTAGCGCGCGGCGAACGGGAAGCCTTGTGGCTGTGCCTGCTGTTGCGCGCGCTGTAGTAATTGGAATTTTGCTGGCCCTACACGACGCGGCTTAATTAAATGCGCTGGTACAGGCAAGTCAGCTGGCGCACGGCGTCTACCTTGTGGGAAACGTTGGAAAACTAAACGCGCTGGCTGTTGTGCTGCCTTGTTGTCGGCTTCATCGTTAGTGCCCTGTGCGTCGAATGAGTTGCTGACCGCAATGACGCTACCATCCTCGGCGACGGCGACGAAAATCTCCTCGCCCTCTTCCTCAGCGGGCTCCTCCTCCTCGTGTTCAACTCTTACTTCCGGCTGCGGTTCACTTGGCTGCTGCTCATCCACTGTGGCCTCCTCTTCGTCAACTTCTAAATCCACATCGTGTGCAGTGACACTTTGCTCTGGTGGTAAGTAGGTGTTTTCAGGCGGACCGTAAACAGCATCTGGTGTCACAGCGGCTGCTGTTGGCGGTCCGTAGGTGCTGTGCGGTGCTGGCGGACCGTAAGTAGCTTCCGGCTGTGTTGGCGGGCCATAGGTGCTATCCGGGGGCAAGTAGGTAACATCTGGCTTGTTTGTTGATGATGGCGGCAAGTCGAAGGGAATTTCAGGTGTCACACCGGCGGCCGGATAGCCAGTAGGTGCGGGTGCCGCAGGAGCAGGTACTGCCTGTTGGCGCGCAAGGAAACGGCCATGAGCGACACTAGGACGGCGCCGCGCAGCTATGCGGAAACGCGTCGGCGCTTCGGCGGCGCAGAGTGTGGCCAGCAATAGAAGACCGATGAGTGGTTTGAACATTGTGAAGTGGTTTCGTTTTTTGTTTCTACACCGAACTTGGCTGCCTGCGGTGAAGTTCTAAGTTTCTGCCGCGACGTTGCTGCTGTGTCTGTCGCTGTGAATTGATTTGGTTTTAGCTTTTATACTAAATACTTGTATTTTAGCGCACAGGTATATTGGTTCTTTATTCTCGTAATAAGGCTAGCGCGGCTTAAATTATCATAACTTACTATATATTAACCGCTTGCTGCCTTTGGGCTCTTGATTACGCGTTTCATGCCGAAAACATTATTTTAGGCATATGAATGTAATCTTTTATTTTTTTTTATTTGCGCTTTCGACGCTGGCTGCGCTTAATGTTATTTACGTGACGTATGTATGCCCAAATTAATTATGTATGCTGTCCCCACACTCATAATGTTATTGTTCACACACAGGCACTGGGTTGTTGGACAAGCATACATATATTTTCCCTTCGACTGCTCGCTGCTTTGCTTGCCGATTTTTTTTTTGCTTTATTCTTCTGTGATAATGCAATGCATGTATTTTGTATGCTTAGGGGATAGTTATCGCATTAGCGAATAATCATCAGTTGGAGCGAGCATAATTAATTACATACCTAATTCAGCTCAACTAACTACTCACCTTCTAGAATTGCAGTGCAGGCATAAATAAATATGTACAAAATACTCACAGCCGGCCAAGATTTTACAAAAAAAAAAAAAAAACGAAAAATTATTGAACTGCGATAAAAAAAATTTAAAATAAAATATTTATAAAACAAAGCCGCCGCAATTAAAATACGCATTTACACGATCAGGGACGCAGTGACTGCGGTGCTGAACTCATCAAGGCAAAAGTATTTTTTTAGGAAATGAAAACTGTTATTTTTTGAAAATCCTCAAAAATGTGTCCACTGAATCCCAAAAATCGCTGAACGCATGCCAAGTTTGGTTTGGAGGTCTAACTTAACTGTTTATTGACCACCTTTTATTTAAACCTGCAAAAGGGTTATTAGGGCAATTCGGGCTAAGATATTAAAAATTCTTTTGTAAGACGATAAAAAAGAGAGATGGCAAGATAGTTCCAAGGCCTTTTGTTATTCTAGGATAAAAGTCTTAGAAAAGGAGCTCTTTCATTCACCACTCATGTTGAAAAGCTAGTCGCAATGGCCGAGTAGGAAAAACACGAGCGTTCCTTTTATTTATTTTTATTTAATATATTTCATTTATTTTATTTAACTTCTAGGAGCTTACTTTTTTCTTCTTTCAATTATTTTTGTTTTCAGTTTTTTTCTAATTTTTAAATTTTATTGATTAAAAAAGAAAAAATATATATATTTTTTAATGTAATTAAATTTTTAGAATTTTATTTTATTTCTTTCTTCTTTTTCAATGTAATTTGTTTTGTTAATGTCATTGTCTTATAATTTTTGTATTTTATTATTTTAAAAGGAAATATATTTGTTTTATTTTATTTTTTCATTATTATTTTTCTTTTATAGTTTAGTTTTTAGATTTTATTGTTCAAAAAAGAAAAACATTTTTTAATTGCATTAAATTTTTAGAAACTTATTTTATTTACTTCTTCTTTTTTCATTTAATTTGCCTTTCTTGTGTCAGTTTCTTTTTTTTAATTTAATAAATTACTGATTTTTATATTTTTTTTCAATTTCATTTAATTTTTAGGATATTATTTCATTTTTTTAATTTAATTATTAAGTTTTTTCAATTTAATTATATTTGAATAATTTTTTTTTTTTAATAAAAATATGGTCTCCGCTGGCTTGACGATGTATTTTAATTCGCTGCACTATGTCCATATCGTTGTAAAGCTCATACAGCTCATCGTTCCATCGTACTCGCCGTCGCCAACGCGTAAAGGCCCGTAAATCTTCTGCAAAATCTTTCTCTCGAACACTCCAAGAATCGCGTCATCGGATGTTGTCATTGCCCATGCTACTGCGCCTTATAACATAGTTCATTCACATGGCATTTTTTTAAAAGACATACATCTTTGTTTCATTTCAATGCCTAGTGGAAATTCGCCATCACAGGTTTTCCATCAGTAACTGAAACTAGAACTAGTGACTGAAACTAGAACAGTCACAATCTCCCGAATGTATTTATGTGGGCTTAAAATGTATTGTTTCTAGACGATATACTTGCTTGTCATACTCCTCTTTTAACAGTTTTGTCCGGTCACCTTCCAATCGTTTCTTAGAGAAGTTACTTTCGATCAGAGGCTGTAATTAAACGTTATTTTTAGACATAACAAATAACTTTCATATCGCTTTTTCTACGATGATTTCCATATGACATACAATTTTGTCTTGCAATATTGTTAATATTAAAAGAAGATAATTTTTGTATAATTGTATGCATAAAAAAACTGAGTTATTGGTGATTAAATAATTCATGTTTTTTCGTAGATTTTTCAAAGTTTCTCGGAATTTTGCTGAATTTTTTTGGAACTTTACCGGAGCTTCTTTATTCAGAGCTAATAAAATTTAAAATGTTTTGTAATTTTTTCGAAAATTTTGCTGAGTTTTTTTTGGAGTAAAATTTAAGGTTTTTAGGACCTTCCAAGATTTCATAATATTCTGTAGGAACTTTTCGGTATTTTACGACTTTCTTATGGAACTTCGAAATTTTATGAACCTTTATGGAACTTTGCGAGATTTTTTTTGTTCATTCGGTCTTCCTTTTTGCGTTGGCGACTCATGGAGACTTTTTAAAGAATATAATTTAAATGTTAATATTGGTTTTTATAATATAATTCTTAACATTGGCTTTTATAAATATATATCTAAAAACAAAGAGAAAAAATTGCTAGTTATTTTCTGCTCAAATATTGTTAGGATTATTTTCACTTTTATTAAGAGCCTGTGGTTATTAATGGTGATTTCGTTTCTACCAAAAAATGTTGCCCTTGCACGGTGCAAAATGTATTTGGCATATTTTTATATGTATGTATACACAGTGCATATACGCTCAACATGTGTGCTATTCATCGCAGCGTATGTCTAAATAGAGTTGCCACCTAAACCTTAAAGTAAAAAATTTACATATCAAAATCCAATTTTTTTTTATTAGTTTCGAAAATATTTTTTTTTTTGTTTTAAACTATACAAATACCAGTATTTGATACCCAAACCTTGATAAGTTTAAAAAGTTATGCACTCCGAGCAAAGCTCTGTCAACCTGGCACTGATTACTTAAATAGAAAGAAATAACTCCACAAAACATTCAGTCGTTAGGTGATGGTGGGGTCGATTTTTTTTATTAGCCACTAATAAAAGCTTGTCTTTAAAAATTTATTTTTAAATTACTTGTTACTTTTAGGTTTCTGTGCTTTTTTGCTTAGTGGGCTAGACAGCGTTACAAAACCTACCCCTCCAAGCCATGCATGATTGTGTAATTTACATACGTGGGTTCTATCTTACCACTACACAGGCACTCTTATCTGTATGCTCGATACACATCCATTAATTTGGTGTTGTTTATTTCCCTTTTTTGTGATTTGCTATCGGCTTACGACGTTGTCATCATTTTACTAATGTCCTTGTTTTTCTACACGTTGATTTTCTCCACATACTTCTAATTGTTGTTGTTGAAATGTTATGTTTTCAAGCATAAGAAAAGGGTCACTTGAAGGCGGCATAATAACGAAGACTCTGACATACTTATTT